ATTTGTGAAAGCATGATTTATCCAGTTCCATAGGACCACATGGCTTCACCCATGGGTGCCGAGAACTGACTGATATCACAGCAAGGCTGCTCACTATCATCCTGGAAAAGTTGTGGTGATCCAGGATGGTCCTCCATCACTGATGAAAGACAAATATTGCACCTGTCTCTAAGAAAAAGGCCAAAAGTTCTACCCTTCAGCCTTCCCTCAGTCTGTGGGGAAATGACGAAACACGTCCTCCTGGAACGCACTTCTGAGTACACGAAGGAGGCTGTGGTTATTTGGAACAGTCCATGGCAATGGACACAGTGGTCTTGGTAGTCAGCAACATGAACACCAGCAGGTGGTGTGCCCTGGCAGCAAAGGCAGCTGACAGCATCCTTGGCTGTATTAAAAAGTGGATGGCCTGTTAATTGAGGAAAAGTGACTGAATGAAATTATTAACCCCCCTGGATCTGTACTTATTATATGAACAACATTTGTGGACATGAAATGTCACATACATTTTTGGCACCCCTGGTACAATGAAGACACTGATCAACTGGATTGAGTTCAGTAGAGAGTCATGAAAACGGTCACGGGATGAAGTACATGTCCTGTAACATGTGACTGAAGGAATACGGCTTGTTAGGCCTGGGTAAGAGAAAGCTTCAAGGAGGAAGAGACCTCTTAAACTGTCTGAGTAAAGATTCATTTTCATAGACACAAAAAAGCACAGAGAGACAGTGCTAAATGGGAGAACTTGAATAATACCCTGCCCTGACTATTCTGGGCTATCACCACAGTCATCAGCTTGAAGCAGCACAGACGAACAACAGCCAAGAGAACTCCACTAATGCACCCAGAGAAAAAGAGCCTCTGCTGCAGCTACTCTTAGGGTTGTCACAGGAGAGCCATCAACAAGAGGTCTGAGTCACGTTTCTTTCTTATGCTTTCAGCTCATTATTTCCCTACACCTCTGCCTAACTAAGGGCTGAAAAGACAGGCAACAGAAAGAAACAGCAGCAGACCTAAACAATGCTCTGGCAACAAGGAGCTCAAACATATTTCTTGTTTAGCCCCTCACCTATCAGTCCTTTCCTGTACGAATCAGTCACTCTCCAAAACCCTTATTTACAAAAATGCCTTTTGTTCACAAAAAGTTTATGCATTTCACGTTAAAAAAAATCTTTATACATTTCACTTTCTCCTTTAACATACAATGAAATGTTCTGCATTTAAAAAATAATCTTAAACAGCATATAAAAATTAAGCATAAGTGCAGTTATGCTCTCCACAGCACAAAGCAAAGAACAAGGGGAGACAACAAATTCCAGCACATACGTAATTGTGTGCAATTGTACAAGCAATACATAACTTGTTCTAATTACTTTGTATTGATAATCACTCCACTGTATTCCAAATTCTGTATCAAAAAGATGTCAGTCACCTCCAGGTGTCTCTGGAAAGCTAGATCTACTCCACTCATTGTGCATTACTCACTCTGGGAAATAATGGTATTTACAGACACCAAAATGTTCAAAGAATATTTTAAGAATTCTTTCCAGACCTCACAGTTGCTCTGTTGCTGGAACCATCACTCACATTACTGACAGCATTTCTCTTAGTCCCTTAGCAGAAGAATGTTTCCAGACCGCATACATTCAGTAGCTAGTGGTGCTGAACTAGCCAAATTAAACTATGTGCCATGCTACCCCAGATGCTATGTGAACAGGCGGTGAGCTCAAAGCGTCTACCACTGCTGATTCTCACCAACTGGGATCCGGAAGCTGGGATAGTCGTATTTGTGAGGTTGATGACTAATTAAACCCAGAAGCCTGCAAGGCAGCCTCAGCTACTGTTACCTCTCTTGTAAGAAAACAGGTATCAAAATCTAGGTACAGATAAACAGTGCTGTCCTTTTTGCAAATGCACGCTGCATCATGTACTATAACAACACAAAATGCCAGCACGTTAACACATGCATGGCAGACAGCTCGGACAGCCAACAGTCTGTTTGCTTATCCAGTTAACTGAATGGATGGCAAATTACCTCCCCTGATATCCTGAAAACACACGATAGTTTAGTTCCATCATAAGGAAATAGTCTTTTCCCCAGATGTCCCCAAAAGACATATGGAGAAACTAACTAAAACTTTTGTGAAACATCATCTCATCATTCTCTCCAAGAACCTGCCAAGAGTCCAGCACCTTCTGACCAGGTTCTTTGAAATACTCCAGATGTGGAGGGTATAATGTTCCACATAAAATGTACTTATTCACAGATATTTGATATTACGCAGGATTTCTGATTTAGCAGAGCAATATAAAATATACGAATACCACAATACAAATAAAAGTTACCCTTTGCAAAATGTATCAGTTGCAATACACAGTTCAATCACATCACCAGTATGATCCCCATTACTGGTCTCTGTAATATGTCCAGTGTTACAAACTGGACACTCCTGGTAACTGGGAAGAAATACGCAGGTTAAAGCCAGGTCAAGCCTGTTGCTCTCTTCAAAATGACTTCATGAGTTGTTTCGTTTTTACACACTTTGTTGGGTTGAGCCATGTATACACTGGCCCTATGCTGTCTGACTAACTCAGGAGGACACTCACACTCTTCTAAAGAACTCAAGGAGAAATAATTATACCACCAGTTGATCCACTCAATTTTTGACAGGCGTTCATCTAAAACAAAGGTTTATCCAGTCCTCTTTGTGTTGAGATGAAGTGGGCTTATTTGCATTATTCTCTGAGCTTCATGAGGACATCACCCTGCTATTCTTCCATTGCAGGGGTTTACCCATTAAGCAACATTCCATGTTTTGTCAGCCACAGAGCTGACATACATGAGTTCAGGCTGAGATTTCAGCTGACGCCCCACGAAGTAAAATTATATAAAAAACAGTTACTAGTCTTGCATATATACTATCTGATACCTCTGCAACACAAAACTAACCCATATCAAACCACCAGGTCTGGAAGCAGCTAGAAACAGCTGACCTTGCTGGAGAAGAGAAGCAAGGAAGAGGGTGAAGAACTGCTGTATGCAAAGCAGCAGCCTGAGTTCAGAGATCTACTACACAACAAATGATGGGCTTTAGGGGTCAGGACCAAAAGAAAGATCACCAAAACAGCTGTTGTTATGGGGACCTATCACAGCCTGTTCCATTGAGAAGAAATGTCAGCTTCCTTAGAGAACTGTAAGAAGTATCATTATCACCAGGTCCTGCCTCTCATGGAGGACTTTTTAAGCACCTCAGCATTTCACGGAAGAGAAATGTCATCTGGCACAACCAGCCCAAAATACTTTTGGAGTATGCTGACAATAACGTTTTGATGCTGAGCTGGATAGACAAGCTGATGGAGACAGGTGCTCTGATCTCCTACATATGCATATGGAAAAACCAGTGGGCAATGTCAGAGTCACACGCAAAGTCCTGCAATTAGACTGAGATAAACCTACTCAAAGATACAGCCAGAGTGTTGGTTATGCAAGAAAGCAACTCTGCAGAACAGGATCCTGGAAAGCAGGTAAACAAGATGAAAATGAGTTGGTAGGATGCACTGACACCCAGCCACATACTATAACGCACTAGTAAAAGCACAAATGCCCCTCTGTGAAGCACCTGCTGAAGTCACATATGGAACACCGTGTTTTCCTTTTCCTACTACTCAGTTTAAGAGATGAATGAAGCAGACCAAGTACAGCAAAGCACCACTGAGGCAATTTTAAGCGGCTGAAACACACAAGATGCAAGAAGTACTTGGGACGGCAGTATCTGCAAAGCCTAAAAAGACCAGGTAAGAGTCTAGATGATATAGACAACTACTGAATGTTGGTTGAAGAAAAGGTAGAGCTAGACTTGTTTCATAAGGGAGAGTTAAAGCGCAAGATGAAACAGAAGCTGAAGCAAGGAAACTTTTAACCAGATAAGGAAAACATTATATGAAGAGTGGTCAAATATTTGATAAGGTTGCCTAGGCTGCAGAATCTACATCCTGGAACAACATCTTGCTTTGAGCAGGGTACCCAGCTACAAGACCTCTCAAAACTAAATCAGATCCCCAAGCCTGAAGTGTTATTCACCACAACCGTTCCTGTTACCATATACTGTATTGCTGGCTGATGCAGGTGCAATCTGAATGGAAACATTCAATTGCTGAATGCTCCCACTTTTCGGGGGGGGGAATGTTTCCCCAAACATTCAATTGCTGAATGCTCCAGTGACTTTGCCACTGTGAGAGATCACACGTAATCTAGCACCTGCATTTTTCATTTGTTTGTTTTATACAAGAGCTCAATTTTACTAAAGAATATATATTGATCACCCTGAAGAAAGAAGGCTCCAGGGAGACTTCAGCACAGCTTCCAATGCCTAAAGGGCCCATCAAGAAATATGGAAAGGATCTTTTTAAAAAGGGTATGAGGAGACAGGACAAGGGAGAATGACTTTAAACTGACAGAGTGGAGATTTAGTAAGATCTGAGGAAAAAATTTTGCCTGTGAGGGTGGTGAAGCCCTGGCACAGGTTGCCCAGAGAAGCTGTGGCTGCCCCATCCCTGGCAGTGTTCAAGGCCAGACCGGACAGGATGGGGCTTTGAAGAGCCTGGTCTAGTGGAAGGTGTCCCTTGTAGCAGGGCAGTTGGAACCAGATGATCACTAGGGTCCCTTCCACCCCAAACTATTCTGTGGCTCTATGATATGGTTAAAAACTACATTAGCACAGGAGTAATAGGTTGCAAATTAACAATGTGTCTGCTTCACTAAAAAAAAAAAAAAAAAAAAAAAAAAAAAAGAAAAAGAAAAAAGAAAAAAAAAAAGAAAACAGTGCTTGATTCTTCACTTAAACATTCCTTTCCCGAAATGTATCATTTAAAGCAATTACTGGGACGCATGCCGCAGAGCTACATCACGGTCTCTTCCAGTTAGAAGCCGCTCCTCGGCACCCTTCCAGGGGGAGGAGTTCTCCGTGTTGCCGATGACACGGTCTCCACAGCAACGCCCCCCACCCCGCTGCGCCGTGGGACCGCGGCCGTTCTGCCCGCACCGGGAGCTGTAATGCCAGGAGGCGAGAACGGTTTGGTAGATGGAGCGAAGAAAACGCACCCTAAGCACACTCTGAGTTAAAAATGGAGAACTCCTTTGTGGAAGAAGTGGCTGCATCACTCATCAGAGAATTTCTCAGTAGAAAGGTAACTTGTCTCGATTTTCTACAGCAAGTTCAAATAAGAACGGCACATGAAAAATCTAAAGTACTAACAGTAGACTGAGGAATGCTGGGGGGGGAGGGAGAGAACGACACGGGACTTCTTCAGCCTTAAAACAGGCAGACATGAAGGGCAACGGGCCGGGAAGTATCGGCACTACATTTCCCACAAAGCCTTTCTACTGCTGAACATGGAGGCCAGCATCGGCCTTGCTTGGGAAAGCCCGAGCCTCCCACACAACACTCCTGCAAACGCCGAGATTAAATCAAGAAACGCAGTTTCAGGGTTGTTTTATTTTATTTATTTATTTTTTCTCACTAATTATCTAGCTTGCTGTTGTTGTTTTCAAGAGGCACAGAAAAATTCCCAGGAGAAATATTAAAAAAAAAAAAAAAAAAGTGCAAAAGGCAAATGGTTCTAGAGAAGCCGGTGACTTTTATTTTTTTTGGGGGGTGGGGGCTCATTTTTTGTTTCGCTCTTGATTTTAAACTTTTCTGTTGGTGGTGGTCTTGCTGTGTGTTTTTCTCTCCTTCTCCCTCCCCGGTTCTCAGCAGTAGCTTGTCAGACAGCAACTTCTCAGGGGGGGAAGGGGCAGGGAGAAAAGGAAAAAAGACACCATTATACTTTTCCCAAACTTAATGCTGTAAAAGGGGTGTGAGACTGAGCATAAGAAAAGGCACCTTTACATTTCAAAGTGAAAGCACCAACCACCCTGTACTTAGGTTGAATCCTAAAGGAAATGCTGCTGATGTCCAGCCCTGTCAGTTCTTCCAAGTCAGGAATGAATTAGCTTGTACCAGAAATTAAACAGCCACTTGCCTTACTAAGTACTGCACAAGCCTTAATTTTGTTCACCTGGTTTGCATCCAGTCTCCAAATGCACATTTCCAATGTTTGCGAGCAAAGCTGACGCATTTGCCAACAGGATTTCAGATGCAGAATTCATTATTTGCCATTTACTGCCAGAAGAGTGAGAGGCTCAAATCTGTCAGTTCACAGATTGCAAAGATTTTTTCAGATGAAAGACATACATTTCTGAGTTCGACAAATGTCAAGGTAAAACTGAATAAAAGTATAAAATGAAGGGGAATGCCCTGCAGGTACACAGGCCATAGAGCTTACAATACTAATACACACTTGAACTGCCACATCTATTTTCTACAATAGATTCTGGAGTCAAAACAATAATCCTTCATGCTTCTGCATAAGCATTCCCCTGCTTCCCCCATATCTTCAATACAGACTGGAGCCAACTGTGATAATGATCTTTTATTTACCACAACTTATCCATCGTTCCCTAAATCTAAGCCATCAGATCCATGTGCAGAAATATATATCCTTTACTGTAACAATAACCTTTCATGGAAGAAATTCAGACTGTTTCAAAATGGTTGTCTGGTATTGTACCACTTAAACTGGTTTAATGCACAATAAATCAGGCTCTCCCTCCAGAAAGGGAGATGCCTGTACATTTTGTCTCTGAAGTGCCCATTTATGCTGACTAGAGATTCAAAGTAACTGAGAACATGTGAAATCTCCAGACCAGCTGATGTCAGAGACATCTCAGTGATCTCCAACCAAAGACTGATCAGAGTAACTTCAATTCATGATAAGGGCTCTAAAACCACTGACAGCTGGAGCACATTATGTTCAGGCTTTGTAATTACCCATGTCAGAATCACATTTATGAAAAGCTGTATCATATCTTGATGGAAAAACTCAAACACACAGTTTCTGGAAGTGCTTGTACCTGAAGCTCACATATTTGCTGGGGCCTTCATACTCATCAGCCAGCCTTATGAGGCTGTTCAGCAGTTGAAGTCACCTGCATGGAGGCCTTTCTTGTTTTGTCATGCTCAGTAATTTCCATTTCACAGTCAACACAGCCACCTTAATTATTTTCTCAACTGTGGGCTGTAATAAGGCAAGACTGTACCACTAAAGTACAGATTCTAAGGGTTAGCTTGTTATTAATTACTGCCATCCAGAAGTTTAATATTACATCCAAAAAAGTCATAGGATCATAGAATAGTTAGGAAAGGACCTTAAGATATATAGTGCCAACCCCTATACCATGGGCAGGGATGCAAGTCAAGACTAGAAGATTTGTGAAGTTGTACTGTTGCAAGGACTCTGAAGTCTCTGACACTTTTCCTTCTCAGGGTTTGAAGAAAACCATCACCACCATGGACGAAGAGCTTCCACGTTCTGAACTCAGCATCAATAACCGGAACGAACTTCGGAATGTCCTGCATCTGCACTCCTTGTACAAACACAACAAGGTAAGGAAACAGATGCTGCTCCCCAAAATTTGGGATCAGATACCATGAAACTATGCCAAATATATCAAGACTGTAGTATATCCAAATGGAAGAGAACTCCAGCTTTCATCTGGTTCTGCACTGCTGTGGATGCCACCAACAGTTCTCTAAGGAATGGAGAGCTCAACATCTAGGTGAGACTGCAGCTCATAGGATGAAGCCGAGAACCTGGCAGATCATAAACCCTTCTAAAAACTGCAACCTCCAGTAAACCAGGAGCAGTTACTCATGTTAGTACTTTTTCCATCTTTTTGGCTAGATTACTCAGTTGTGGAAGTACCTTTACATGCCCATTTGCAACTTTATTTAAGACCTGGCAGATAAAATTATACTTCTAACATTTATTATTCTTTGAAATGCAATACAGATGGTAATATTTGGTAAGAGGGACACCAATGGATGATTTCCGTTTCCAGTTCACTCATGACTTAAGGCACCACGATGCTTTTGGTAACCAGCATGAGGCTATTCTGTAACAGATCACTTCAAAAAGATCTCTCAGTGTAGTTCATAAAAAAATCACAAAAGAGTTTTGGTTGGAAGGGACCTCAAAGACCAAGACCATCCAGTTCCAACCCCCCTGCAATGGGTCAAGGACACCTTCCACTACACCAGGTTGCTTAAAGCCCCATCCAACCTGGCCTTGAACACTGCCAGAGATGGGGCAGCCACAGCTTCTCAGGACATCCTGTGCCAGTGCCTCACTGCCCTCACAGAGATTAACTTCTTCCTAGTATCTCATCTACATCTCCCCTCTTTCAGTTGCATCTCCATAGAAGGCATTGTATTTTAATTTTTGTGTTAGCTTTTTTCTAAATGAAGCTCTCATGCACGCATGACGCATTTTCCAGAGTACTGTTGAACAGCAGTGTAACAAGTAGGGTGTTGGCCTATAATTAAAGAGCTATCTTATGCATGTGTTAAGAGTTCTATAATCCGTGCTTCTTACCAAGTTCTGATTAAATAAATGACAAATACTGAAGTCAGTCACTAGAAGTCCTTCTAGATCATTCTACACTCTTTTAAAGTTGACCAGGTAACATTAGAAGAGGTGTATCCTAGCACAATTACCATACTTTGCAATGTTTCACTAAAATAAGGAATGATTGTTAACAGGTTGTTTTTTCTGTATCACACTTCATTTAACACAGCAACACCTTCAAGCTCTCTATATTCCCCAGCTCACATCTACTTTCTTGGATTGTTTGGACAGTCACCTATGGAATACACCCACAGGCAGCTGACCCTAAAAGTAGTTAATATGTTCAGCTACTGCACAGGTATAAAAAGAATATCCTTAAGACTGTTTCAGTAGTCACCAAGAAGTTTATTTCTCCTTTTGGACAGGCAAAGGAGAGCCCACTGAAAACACTTCTTGAAATTATTACTAACTACTTCCTTGAGCGCCATGGGACTTCCCGAAGCATTAGTTCAAGTTCTGCTCTGTCAGCCCCTCAAAGTAAGAGCTCAACATCTCACCAACCCAACTTACCAGATGAGGATCACGTGTGTGGGAGTGCCACTACACTCGATGAAAGCAGAACTCAAGCTCACAGGTAGAGTCTTCTCTCTCTTAATCTTGTCCAGACACTTATTTTTTTTGTAAATTAAGAAGGTAAGTAGTATTACACGTTTTATCATTTATACCTTCGGCTACAGTACCTCTTAATAGTTATCCTAGTAACACAAAGCTTTAAGTTTCCAGATTCTTAAAATCCCCTATGCAAGCCACCCTTTACAAATGCATTTATATTCCCTACCAATTGCAAAGACTGATAATCTCAATTACATCTTTCAGTCACTGAAAGACGTAAGAATTTAAGCTTTAACGTCTTACATGTTGGAAATGTTCAAAGTGATGCATACTCTGATGAGAAGTTAACCACCTACACTCAAACTACAGGTATATTCATGCCTTACATAGCTGAAAGCAAAGCATACTATGTGAAATTCAGTCATTACAAACAGTATAGGCTATTTTCATCTCGCAAAACACCTGGAAACACAAATAACCAAATATTCTGACTGTACTTCTTAGTGCCTCACAGTGGATTAACAGCCCTAATTGTGCTGCAGTATAAAGCTTTTAAAATGGGCAAAAGGAATAATTCATCTTCCCACCCCTCTCAGAGAATTAACCTGATTTTATTCCTAATATGAAACACAGCATGCTCCACCTAGTTAAGTCTGAGCATCAGTGCTTGTAAAACCCCAGCAAGTCTTATAAATAAACCCAAGTTTTTTAAACTTTATGCTACCAACTGAGAAGCAACACTTGAAAAGGAGGCAGTGCAAAAGAAGTAGCTGCTTCTCTTTTTCAGATACAGGAGCTTTTACCATATTGACAAGTGATGTTCTGTCTCCCTGATACTATCCCACATCACGCTGCTTCCGAGCTTGCATATGTCTTATTTTCTCCCCTTCCCCGGACACTGCCAACTGTTTTGTTCCACCTGCGAGCTTCTCCAGTGTCCGCAGACTTTTCTTGCTACAGCAAAACACTTTTCATGCCAGAGGAATACACTAACACCCTGTGTTAAACACCAGCACCCAGCACCCACCAATTCCGTCACCCCCTTTACTGCCAGCGATATGGTGCCCGCTCGCCCCTCCCATGTACTTATAGCCCTTCTGGCGCATGCGCATTGGCAGCCGAGCGCTTTCCTCCCCTGCCGGCCGTGGCAAAGCGAGTGTTCAGTGGCTGCCCCGCGCGGTGGTCATTGCGCCGGAAGTGGTGCGTTATGGGGCTGCTCTGCTTTAGACCGCAGCCCGCTCTATGGTTTTAAGCCTCCGCTGACGGGGAAGGCTGTGTAGTGTGGTTGTTCAGTTCCGTCCCCGTCATAAATGTACACAAATGAAAAGAATTATAAAGCCCTGCACGCAGAAGCAGCAGGTGTGGGTGATGGAAGGGGGATATATCATGGTGCTGTGAGGAATACAGTGCGGGTGCTGTCCCTTAGGAGGCGAAGCGTTCCCTCCCGCTCAAAAAAAAAAAAAAAAAAAAAAAAAAGATTTAAGGAAAATTGGAAATCAGGAAGTGAAAAGCAGAAATGCCCAACTTTTCATGTGTATGAGCTTACCAAGCCACACTGGGAGCTGTCAGCTCCTGTACTGACTTGCAGGTTTCCATATAAATCCTGTGTGATTTTGTATGTGTTTTCTTGTTACTTCATCAGCACCAACCTAACTGGTTATGTCTTCCCAAAGTGGGAGATGACAAAGTTGCCTGGAGGTGCAAGGGAGGAAAAACGAGTTGGGTGGGTGTGATGAGGGAACATGGGTTTCAGGGTCTGTCCTGATAAAAATCAGTTTCTGTAGCTTTTTTTTTTTTTTAAACCAGCTGAGAACCTGACCCTCACACTCCTGGGCAGGTGGCTCCATTATTCCCTTAGATCAGGTCTCATTCCAGCCATTTTGGTGGCAAAGCTGCCATAACAATAACTGTCGTGGGTAGGTGATGGGTTAGCTTGGTCATGTCTGATTTTAGCCCACAAAATGGACCACTGAAAGAAAAACCATGGGAGCATGCAGCTCTGTGATCCTCCCAGACATTTCCATCCCTTCTGGCCAAGGATCTGGCCTCTCTGCCTCTTGTCAGGCATTAACAGGTCAAACTGCCAGTGCCTGAAGTTAATTTCAACTGTCTGGATAATTTTTAACAGTGCTTTTAGGCGTAGAGAGTATAATCAGACAGGTACTCTTCACTTGTTACTTATTAAAGAGTCTTCTTTCCTCTTAAGTTACCTCTTAAACTCTTTTGAATGTCTGTAACAGTTTAAACAATCTCTGTGCTGAAACACTGTCCTTTGGCAGTGAAGGGTTACACAGTCTTAGGTCAGGAATAACAGTCCTCAAACACTCCTCACAGAGACTTATCATGCCTTCAGTTACATATGCACCATACCTTAGCAACACGAGACATAATACAGAAACCAATTTTTAGCTGGTTAAATGAAAGGAATATTTTTGTTGTACAAGATGCTTCAACTCGTGGAATTGCTTTACTAATGAAATAGGATGAAGGGAAAGATCCTAAAGTGAAAAAAAAAAACAGTTCAGTGACAGTTATTATAAAGAAGGCTAACATTTTCAGGTTACACAGAATATAAATTTGCAAACTGACCCAAAGAGGTCTCAATGAAGTGGGAGCTACTCAATCAAAGAACTTCCATTTTAAGTGTAATCTAATACTATGCAGGCAGTGAAACAGATCCTGATGAAGAAAATTGGACTCACCATGATTTCTTACGGGGTCAAATGATGACTTTTTTTTTTTTTTTTCTTAGTAAGAACATGATTTGTTAAAATATATTTCTAAGAAAGAAATGTGTATAGTGTTGTAAAAATTGAGTTTCAGTTCCATGGGAAACTCACCTCCATTTCAGAAAAGCTTGCTTATAGCATTCTATATGTGTAGGAAAACATGCAGATGTGTGAACTAAACCTTCTGTTGCTGCCTGAAGGAAGAGGCTGAAGAATACGATGACAGCAGCATAATAACCTATTGCCAAGGAAAAGTACAAATCATAGAATCATAAAATACTTAGAGTTGGAAAGGGACGTAAGGATCATCTAATTCCAGCCTACTGCCATGGGCAGGGACACCTCACACTAAACAATGTCACTCAAGACTCCGTCCAGCCTGGCTTTGAACACTATCAGGGATGGAGCATTCACATGGGCAGCCTTTTCCAGTGCCTCACCACCCTCACAGCAAAGAACTTTTTCCTTGTATCTAACCTAAACTTCCCATTTTAAGTTTGAAATGAAATACAAAAGTATATTTCTTACTAAAGTGTTATACATTTGAACAAAGAGTGAAAGGGGCCAGTAGTGTCAGTCTTAAGTTAATGATAAAAAGAGATGTTAGCAAAAGTGTTACTAAATTTTCAAACTGCTGAAACACTGAAGACAGAAGAAGAATGGGAATGGCTGGTGGTAGCTTAGGACATGTTTGATACGATCTATATAGTTTGCTTTCTGTGATGGCATGGTAAATATCAGAAGCATAAGATTAAAGCGTTACAGATACTGCAAACCATTGTGACACATAATAATGATATTGAAATAGTGTCCTGAAGGCCTACATATAGATGTGAAAAGTGATTATATTTGAGTACTGTTGCTAGATAACATGTAACTTAATTTGACAGCAGTGACTTAATTGAGAGATGTTTTCATTGATTTTATTGTGCACGATTTTGTTGTTTGAAGTTTTGCCTTCTTCTGCCTTGTAGATACAATGTTGAGAATTCAGTAGATAAAATCTTTCCATCCAGAAAACAACAACACAAAAGTGAAAAATGCCACACAGGGGCAATACACAACAGTCAGTTACTCTCTGATGGGGATAAGAAGTTACAAGATAGTCGAGAAGATTTAAAAGCATCAGCGGTTTCTGAAGAGCTGAAATCCACAGTGAAGGAGAAGCCAAGGCCCAGGTCTAGTCTCATTGTCAGAGGAATGATGGCCAGACCAGTAGCAACTTCACCAGAGGTGATTCTCAACACTTATAAAATACTTGGCTTGGCCATAGATTTTATGTATAACCTTTTGTGATAAAGTAATTTGCAAATGATAATAAAATTACTTTTACATGCTAATCCATTAAATAAGCAGTCTTAAACTATGTGGTAAGTTAGAGAAGTGTTTTTAGTTAACACAGAAATTCCGACTGTTTCAGGTATAGCTACTGCATGCAAGTACCCTCTGCCTGTCTGTGATCTTAGGTTACAGAATTTCTTTATAATTTTTTTTGATTCTTGGTACCTCTTGATGGATGAGATTCTCCATTTTCCTAGAAAAATTGCTTTTTTATCTTTATGATATCTGCAGCTTTCAAAGTTTCCTTAGCCGTGGGTATCGCTTTTACTATTTTTTTTTTGGTTTTATTTTTTTTTCCTTCCCAAAATCCCACATTTAATCAGTAACAGTTTGGAACTGACAATTACTTTTAGTTAGAAATATGTTTCTAAATTGGTCCAATCAGACCATATTCGATCAGTAAGTGCTTTCAAAACACAGTTCTGAAAGTCTTGCCTCGTTTTCTGCATGCTGCTTTTATCTGGACAGGAACTTTCCCTGTGTAAAATTAGGATTGTAACAATACGAACTTTTTTGTTCTTTTTTTTTCCTTTCTTTTCACAATTTTGAATAAATCATTTAAATAATATCAAAGAGAATATGGAAGTTAAATTAAATCAGTTGGATTTTTATAAATATCTCTGATTTGGTAATAAAGACTAGATACCTGTGGTGGGCAGTCTGTCTAGTAAAATGCATTTTTTTTTCTGAGTTGGGTACAACCCCTATATTAAGCTTTTGGGAGTTATTTTCTTGATGTTCTTTGGTAAAAGAAAGCAGTTTTTAACAGTGTGTAGTACCTTTAATAGTACTCAAATTTAAGTAAAACTGTACATCTGTCTTTTTTATAGTTAAAAAAACTGATTTACTGTATAACCTGATTTCTAACAATAAACAAATTTCTTAACCCAGAAATCAGTGATAGAGCTTTCCTTTTGTTTTCATATTTATGTAAAGATGCTAAAATTTTAATGGTACTTATTTCTAGGATCTGCAAAAAAGGAGGCTTTCAAAACGATCCACTAGCATAAGCAGCACAGCACAGTTCAAGGCTGAAGAACATGAAGGAGGTGACCTGAGTGTCCCATGTACCGATTTTCAAGAAAGCAAAGGATCTTCAGCACAAGAAAATGCGGGGTTCACATCAAAGGCTGTGTCAAGTTTACACGCAAGTTCAGCCTTTCAAAAACTAAGAACCGTTCCCAAAGATACAGATGACTCTTTTGCCAGTCTGCTCACTGAAAGAGAGAGGACCAAGACAGAAGAAAGAAAATCACTTCCAAGCTTTGTTACAGACAGCAATGAGAAAAGCCTTAAAGTGAGTGCCCCTCACAGACATTCAGGGGCTGGAAGAGAGAAGAAAGAAAAATCCTTCAAGAAAAATGAGAGTCGGTTGTCAGGCCATAGGTAAGAATATTTGTAAGACTATTATACTAAAAGGTTGAGGAAGTCTGATGGAGGACTAGGATTGACTGAAGTATGCCTTCTGATTTCATTGAGGGGGAGTGGCTGGAAGAGATGAAAATACTGAAAGGCAGAGAATTTGATTTAACTTAATAATTTTTGACATCCCAAACCACTCATGACTCCTTTCTTTGTTAGTGGAGGCACCCTAGAAGTGCTGTTTTCTGTTTACTGCTTCAAAAGGAGCTAGTTACTAGTTCAAACTTCAACCAGACTGGCTAAAATTCTTTGGGAAGACTGTCTGACCAAGAAAGCTTTTGTACTAGCTTCACTCAGCTGTAACTGGACATGCTGGCACTTCCTAACTTATGGAGCAGTAATTGTGGAGTACACAGAAAAGGGGAGGCTGGACTGAAAGGGGACTGCCCCAGTGTACTGTTTTGTGCAATGTACTGTGGTATCGTGCTCCATTGCTATAATAAATGACTTGTCCCTGGGAGTGTTCAAAAACCATGTAGACAAGGGACCCTAGTGACATGATAGTGGTGGATTTGTCAGTCCTGGGGGAATGGTTGGACTTGATTATCTTAAATCAACCTAGTTGATTCTGTGATTCTCTGATTCTATTTGAAATACTTTCCTTCCTTCCTTCCGAGGACTTGTTTGTTTTCAGCAAGAACAGAAGAGGGAGCTATTTCCTAAGCAGAGTCCACCAAATCTGTGTTCAGCGTATAATGAGGACATTCCTGCCAGACGATTTGAGTTAAAGCCAGTAGAGCATTTGAATTCATGCTGAGCTCTGAGCTCCTGAAAACTCACTGAAATCAGCAGGGCTGCTGATACCTCCGAAGTTAAGTGGAAGTACAGAGAGTGGAAGTGAGCCTCCAAATAAACACTGACCATTACAATACAAGGCCTGGCTCTTGCAAGATTTTATATCCGTTTGGCCAAATCCTGCAGTGTTTGAGAGCCTTTCAGGATTTCGCCAGAGTGCTTGAGCATTTCGAGGCATGAAAAATTATAATGTATTTTTAAATTAAATTTCAAATTTAATTTTAAAAATTACGTGGATATTTTTCTGGATCCTTTTCCATTCCCTGTTACTACCTGACACCTCTGACATAAATGCTAATCTAAGTATTTAGATGAGTAGCTGAAAATCTTTATAGGGTTAGCCACAGCTAGTTCATTCCGAGGCACCTGCAATTCTATGTTTGTTTCCTATAGAAAACTGAAAGTATACAAATGTTATTTTCCTTCCATTTGCTGTACTTTTCAATCTCTTTTCTCATATGCAAAAAAAAAAAAAAAAAAAAAAGAAAAATGCACAGAGGCAGGAGGTATTCATTGTCTCCACATGAGAAAAAAGATAAAACAAAACCACTGCCACGCTTCCAAAGACTATGTTATTGAATAAATGCTAAGTAGCTGAGTGGGCAGAAATACCTGTCTCTAAGTATGTCCTGGGGAAATACAGATCCACAGTACTTTGACTTACATGTTTTAATGAAAGAAATGATCGTGCTTTCTTTTCATCAACTATCAGATTCTTAGCTACTGCATGAAGTGTGCATGGCTGAGAGGCCAGATTTGTGACTTGATATTTCAGTCTTATCGTATCAACATGAAGCTAGGCCTCTGAATACCTTATTTCACATAGAAGTTTGTCCTCAGTACAAATTGGAGGTTCTGTCTTTCTTCAAATAGATATAATTTTGATTTCTTGACTTGGATTTCTGTGATGACCCAAATTAAATGTTTACCCGCAAAGAGGGTCTTTTAACCTGGGCAGAGCCTTGAATGGAAGTGGGGAAAGGTTCCCTGTTACTTAAATATCTTGAGGTGGGGTCAACCCTCCCTTGAGCAGGGTGGTTGGACCAGATGACATCCAGAGGTGCCTTCCAACCTCAACCCTTCTGTGATTCTCCTTAATGCTGAATCCCCTATAAGGAGGAAGTATTTATCATTAGCTGAGTACACAGAATAAAGAGTGAGGGTCTATATTGAAATGGAATTAATGATCTTTGGGAACTGTAAAAAAATAAACAGTTGTTAAAGTTGATGCCAGACCTTGGGTTAAGATCTTTCTATTGCTTTTCCAGAAAAACCATGGGGAATAGTGAGTTATTTGGGATGGCTAAATGGTGTTAGAAGGTCAAGATTTCCCCATGTTCCCTAGCTTGAACAAACAAAATTGGGGAAAGGCAGGCAAAACCACTTCACAGCAGTTGAGAAAGGGTTCTTTTGTCTCAGCTACAGAGGCATACTACAGTTGTTGCTTACGCAGCCTTTAAAGTAGAAGAGCTCTATGAGTTTTCCATGTCCCTTAATTCTATCAATGTGTACTAGTGATGTGGAAAGCCTCCAGTTCTCAGCTGTCTAGTGAGTAAATCTGGGCTGGCCAGCTGCATTTTGACTGGGCAGTTCTGCAGTGTAGTGGAACCACATTACGCTGAGTTAGATAAATATTATCTGGAGACCTCAGTTTCACTTCTGGTAGTTAAGAAAATGAACATATCGCCATGTTTGAGCTTTTAGTTTCCCTTCCCAGTTCCAAGAAAAATAGCATAGAAGTTAGAATCAGAGCACTGAAAGAATAAAAAGGTATAAAATTGGAATCAAAGATCCAAGGGAACAAGAGGCCTTAGCAATCAAGACCTGAAGTTAAGGTTATCTTGCCAATTTCATAGAAATTAAAAGGGAATGGCTATCATAAAGGCAAAAAGAAATGTGAATATTGTTACATCAGAACAAAAATTTCCTCCTGCCATTAGTAAGCAAAAGCATGCTGCCATGAATCCCATTGTCCAAAGGCAGAGATCTATAATACAGTTTCAGGAGCAAGGAAGGTAATTGATTCTTCACTCATGCTTTCGTTGTGAACAACCACCCTGCTTACACAGTTCTTCTAATTGCATCTGCCATACCCTCCTTTGGCTTGCCATCAGTCTTGGCTACAAAACTGAATGTGAGCTAGTGGTTTCCCTTCAGAAGCCTGCCAGTACAGACGGGTATTTCAGACAGGAGGGACAGTTTTATGACTGTGTAGCTTGGCTTCAGATGCTTTTTCCAACCAAAACCTAAGTATTCCTGATGCACTTCATCTCCACCACCAGGAAAGTAACTGCCAGTGAGTTCAGAGAATTTCTCTTCCTACAGTAGTCTCTCAACTGAGTTCGCCTTTGCTGAGCACTCTTTAGTGGTTCTCAAAATATCACTCATTATTTGGTAATAAGCCTTTTTTGTAGCAATGCTCTGCATTCTAACACAAATAAGGGTAGGGTTAGTGAATTGCCATAGATACCAAGTTCCTGAGTGGAACATTACTCATATTTCATAGAATCTTAGAAGTTACAGATGGAAAAGACCATTTAAGGTCATTTGTTTCTATAGCAGATTACTCATTACTCTCTCTATATATTTGCTGTAATACTTTTTCCAAGGGTTTGTCTTGTCCAGTCTTAAATGACTCAAGTGACACCTCCCCCCTGAGAATATATTCCAGCATCTAGCAGTCCTTAGCCTGAGGAAATTCTCCCTTATTTACATATACATACATATACATACAAATGTTACATTTGCTTTTTTTTCTGCCGTATTATCCATAGATGACATTAATTTTTGACTGATCTTTCTGTTCCTTGCTACACGTTTGCCTATGTTCTTTTTATTCTAGTTCTTCTTCTTATTCTAATTCTAATTATTATTCTAATTCTAATTATTATAATTACTTTTCATGTTCCTTTAGGCATTTTTTGTCTAAAGCCTGTATCATCTGCTTGTATTTTTATCTTTCCTGCTCTGAAATGTTGCTGTTGTTTTTCTGTTAGGTTGTATTGATTTGGTTTTCTTCCATGTGTTTAAGGGCTTGTCTAACTTTGTCACACTGTGATTCTCACAAATACAGGGTAAGAACACTTTCTGCTCATGACATGATTCCCAGTTTTATAAAATCATATTAGCACATTTGTCACTGCAGTTTATCACAAGTATATGCCTTCTTACCTACAGTCTCAAGCACATTGAATGCAAAATCTCTCTTCAGTGTTACAGTGTCTCTTCCTCCAAAATGGTCTTTGTAGTATCATTCTGAAGCCAGTCTAATCTTCTGTGATAAGGCAATATGTGTTCCTATAGAAAAGGTGTCTCCCTTCAACTCCCTGCATTTCTACGTAAGACTGACAAGGAGTGAATGGCTTTACTTTGCTTTCTGAACTATCTGTGTCTTCACCCTGAATGGAGACCGGTACAGGTGAACCCATTGTATTACTGAAAATTCCTGCCTTTCCCCGTTCATATGTTCCACCAAAAAGTCTCTGAAAATTCACTTTTATGGAGCTGGGGGATCCTCAGAGGAAAACAAAATATTAATTTCTTAAAAGAAATCCTTTAAAGCCTTTAAAAATATTTGCAGGGTTTGTTTTCTTTTTTTTTTTTTTTGTATTCTTTTAGATACCTGAGACTTTCAAAATAATATTTTGAAAGTGCTGTGGTCCTTAAAGTATTACTATTTATGCTTTCTGTTATTAACAGGAATAAAAAAGCTTATTTTGTATGTGAGGATCAAACCTATACCTGTCACTTGCACATGACTGACTGCCTAAAACTGCTAAGATACTCTCACATGTTTTTATCCTGAATCATTCCTGGCCTCAAGCTATGCTCATTTACATTAGAATATTAGCAGAGAATGTTGGCCATGAGTTTCTGAGCAAATTCAGAGCAGGATTTAAACTTCCTTCCACCAGTATAACCAACAAAGCAGAGCACAAGCAATCCAGGAGGTTTCTGGACTGCACTGATGGTAACTTCCTGACACAGGTGATCAAGGACTGTTTTCCTGTGAGGGTGGAAATGCTGGAACAGGTTGCTTAAGGAGTCTGTGGTGTCTCCATCCTGGAGACAGTCAAAACATGGCATGGCCTTGAGCAACTTACTGCAGTGTAACCTGCTCGGAACAGAAGGTTGGACTAGGTGAGCTCCAGAGGTCCCTTCCAACCTGT